TATATATATATATATATATAAAGGAAGGATCCTTTTACTCCAAGAGTAAGTCTAGACTCCATTCAATAACTCATGTTCTATATCAAATTTCAACGATCCAACCGTTCAATTTAAAGCTCTCAATGTATAGATCAAATCTGCAAATTTTTAAAACATTTGAAAATCATTTGATACTTCGTTTCTTTAATTTGAATCAATGTATAAAATAATTTTATGATTATTTGTCAATTTAAGTTTAATGAATTGAAGTTTCAAATGATTTTTAAATTTTTAAAAATTTGCAGATTTAATCTATGCATTAAGAACTTTAAATTGAACGGTTGGATCATTGAAATTTGATGTAAAACATGAGTTATTGAACGGAGTAAGTCTAGGTAATCTTACTCTTGGAGTATATGAAGTAAAAACCGTAGGTTAAAGCTTGCATCTAGGTGCTAGTTCTATTCTACATTAAAGATTGAAATCATAATAGTTGGAAAGGATTTTATTCATCAACTTGACTTGGTATTGCTATAGATGATTTATAGTCACCTCATGGGTGCTTAATTTTGTTTATTATTATACTTTAGTATTTCTTTTGTGTGGTTGGCCAATAAATTACTGAACATGTTTCTTTTCCTTTCTCCCTTTTGCCTCTATTTTTTGTAGGCATTTTGTCCCCAATTTAACTATTGGTGCTCCAGTTATTGAAAGTCTGAGAAAGCACACAATGTAACGATCTTCATTTTTCACTGGTCTAGATGATTCTATGCAGATTTTTTGTTGTTGCCTATTAGCACGATATATAGTGCACTTTAGTCATTAACCATTAACCCTTGTAGGGGATATTTGGATTGTCACCTTATGGTTACAAACCTTCTTGATTATGTTGAACCCTTGACAAAAGCTGGTGGTTCTGGTTTTACATTTCATGTAGAGACATCAAAAAGTTGGTCCCTACATTTTCTTCTTTTGGTTTGTCTTCCTTTTACACCATTTTCTTATGCCTACCTTTATATAATATTTTGTCTTCTACCTCTTAAAACTGATTTTTGTGGATAGATAACTGGAAAGAACTTATCCAAAAAATCAAGTCACATGGCATGAGGCCTGGTGTAGCATTAAAGCCTGGGACCCCCATTGGAGATGTTTATCCTTTGGTGTGTAGTTTTCTAGCTCTGGTTCTCATATGGTCATACCTGTATAGCAGGATTTTATTATCTACCTTTATCATCTATGAGTGGCATGAGTCCTTGTGCATAAACTTGAGAATATATATAATATGAATGACTGGAAGCCCTTAATGTCATATGCATGTGTGCTTATTTTCCTTTTCTTTTTCTTATGTGTCATATTCTTTATTCTTTTCACTAACAGGTGGAAGCTGAAAATCCTGTGGAAATGGTTCTTGTGATGACTGTAGAGCCTGGATTTGGAGGAAAAACATTTATACCCGAGATGATGGATAAAGTATCGTCATTCTTTCTTGTGTTATGCTTTGTGACTGGAATTTCTTGTCAATTATGCAAGTTGTATCTATCTTTTTGTTAATTTTTTTTCTTCCATTTTGAAATTTCAAACCAGGTACGTATACTTAGGAAGAAGTATCCATCACTTGACATAGAGGTACCTCAACACATTTTTTGTTTCTAACTTCTTTCCTTTCAAGTTAGATGCATATTTTCTTCCTGGTTGTATACATAGTAGAGTATTGATATTTTTTGCTTGCTTGATTTTTGAACTTGTTAAATCTTTCATGTTTTACTTATTTATGTTCTCTTCATTTTTTTATTTATTCTAAAAAAAAGAACAAATGGTCTTTTACTTAATTGTTGCCTTTGCACTTTTAACTTCTTTTATATAATGGTTTCTCACCAAAACTTCCCATTCAATATTATTTCTAAGTGCCCAATTATTGTATTCACGGATATTGGAGGTGATTAAGGTTCTTATTGGAAGAGCTTATTCATAGCTTATTTAGACTTATCTTATAACAAATGCATCTGTATAAGTGTTTGGGAGAACTTGTGAAATAAAGTTATGATATGTTCGTAAATTATTTTCAGTTTATCTCAACAAGGTTCTTCAGATGAAAATAGCTTATAGCTTATATAGAATCAGTTTAACCCTATTTCCTTCTTGATTATAAAATAACCTATACATAAGTGCTTATATAATAAGCAGTTATTCAATAGTGTTGCTAAATGGCAGTTATGGCGACGACCGCCGCATTCCATTATGGTTGTTTGGCCTCTGTATGGCACAGGTTCGCCATAGGCCATTATAGCGGTAACGGCGTGGAAATTTACGGCGTTCATGGCTCCCATTTTGGGTTTTTTATTTCCATTTTTCCGGGTTTGGGCCTAGGTTTTTTTTTTTCTAGGTTTTGGCATTCCATTTTTTTCATTTTCCTGAATAGGTTCGCAATAAGACCCTAACCCTATAGTTCTGAAACATTGTCTACTACGTGCAACGTCAACGGTGTGCCTCCTCCGATGAGTTCTGCCACTGCAATTGCCTCTAACGCGACCACCACCTCGTGTGCGATTCTACTCCACTTCTTCTCCCTCCGCATGCGATTCTCTCCTTCTCCCTTCGCATGTGATTCTCTCTTTCTCCCTCCGCTCGCGATTTTGCAACTTCTCCCTCCGTGTTTTGCTATTTTTTAACATTGTTTCTTTGTTTTGATGACCATTTAATCCTTTTGTTGGCTAGGAATTTATGTCTTTTTATGATGACTATCACTAAATTATGAATGTCATGAATTTTAGATTGTTATATTGTTGGTTTTAATATGTGTTTGTTATTTTTTTTGGCATCATATTATATATATATATATATATATATATACATTGTGTCCGCAATAGACTGCTATGACAATATGGCACTTAAAGGTCCTTGTTGCCATCTGCCGTATAACTTTATTGACAACCTTATTATTCAATAAGTCCTTAATTATTTTCATAAGCTCATGTACACTAAATAAATTAATCCAAACCGTCCCTAAATGCTTGTGTTAGCATGCTCATATTAATTTTGCAACAACTAAAACAAGCTCAATTTCAGGTTGATGGTGGTTTAGGGCCTTCAACCATAGACATGGCCGCATCAGTTGGGGAAAATTGCATTGTTGCTGGAAGTTCAGTGTTTAGAGCCCCTTAGCCAGCTCAAGTAATATCCTTACTGAGGAATTCCGTGGAGAAAGCCCAGCACACCATGATATAGTAAAAAATGTTATTTTAAGTTGTATGCCGTACACTTCCTATAATCAATATGCTTAATGTTAACATTTTCATAAGTCGAATAAAAGAATGTGACTTGAAAATGTTTCTTTATATTTCTGTATCAAGTGTGCATTTCATAAATATATAAAGGCACAAAAGGGGATGACACATGTTATTGTCACCTAACTCCTTTGCTAAAGAACATTGTGTAAATTTAAATTTTGAACCATTGTTAGTATTTTTACATTATGTGTAGACATCATACAAGAGAGTGCCACGTATGGTTAGTAGTAAGTAACCAAGCTTTTACACTAGCAGTCTAGCACAAAATCATATTAATAGTTTCCTATTTAGCCGGCGCTATATTATATTACCCATAGTGTAAAAATAGTAATATCAAAGTTGAATCCTTAATAATTAATATTTATCTTCATAGACACTTGTATGTCAATTCAATGATTCCTATTCATTTAGAGCAATAATTACCTAATCTGATTTCTATTTTAGTTCATATCTTAGACTCATTTGGGGGATGGGATTAAAGTGGATGACTCTTGCCTTAGTTATATATTACGTACAGTTAATATGTTTGGTTAATTATGTTTTAATGAAAGTGTTTGTTCTTGTTTCGGATCGATGCATCGATTACCCTTATTTTTATCAGCACATTTTGGTAGATGCACTGTACCATAAGTGTATCTCTTGATTAGATGGATGCTTATCTCAATCTTCGGACCTACAATGTCTTTGAATCCTTGGATGGATAGAAGTCTAATTAAATTTGCATCTATTGACTTCTTTAATTGCAGAATTTGTGCCAAATCATCCTCGTAACTGAATTCATAAATTTTAAGGTTTTTTCAATAGTATATTTTTTGTGACTCTTTATTCTGGACACAACAAATTAGAAGTTTCTTAAGGATTGAGTTTGTCTCCTACTACTCCCAAAATCAACTTAAATTTATGTCTATAGCAATACCAAGTCAAGTTGATGAATAAATTCCTTTCCAACTATTATGATTTGAATCTTTAATTCATAATAGAACTAGCACCCAGATGCAAGCTTTAACCTACGATTTCTACTTCATATACTTGTAAGCAGAAGCTTGAAAGATAATTACTGCTAAGCTCTCCCAGATTTTTCTTAATTTACTTCAATTACATGATCATCCTACTCAATAAGAGTATAGTGAAATGCCTAAATTGTAGTCCAGTTTTATGACACTTTTACAATTAAGGCATTCTCCCTAATGTCAATACAATACAAGAGAAATTATTTGTTTCAAAAACAAAGAACTGGATGATAGGTAGAAAATTATGACTTAATCAGAAATCCATCGCCAAAAAATAGCCATCAGATTAAGGAGTTTTGGCATTTGCCACATGTCTATATGATTAATGGCCAAAATCGATTACTGGGTTACAAGCAAATATGCAACATAGAAATGTAGCATAAATCAAACTACTTGGCTAAAAACATTAAATTAAAATTCTATAAACAACAGGGTATGGTGAAAAAAAATCCAGTCATTGCATCTGTCATGCTAATCAATTTTGTGAAAAAATTGTTATAATGGTGTTACAACAGAATGGCGGGTCAGTTTTGGGGCTCTCCGCAATTCGCCATCCGTCATATGGCATTTTGTGATGTCGTCCACCATTTCCACCGTGGCAGGCGCCATGGCTATTTTGTCCCGTTATGATATGAAGGATATGGCGAACGTAACACGGCTAGGGTTTCTGGGCCAGTTTTGGGCTGCGATCCAGGCCCAATTTGAGTGCCCTAATGTCTTTGGGGTTAGAGTGTGAATAGAGCCGTCGCGACAGCCTGATGGAGGACCACCTTTGGATCTTCATGTGGGACCCATTACTAGGTCCATGACTAGGAGAATGGAGGAAGACGAAGGATACATCACGCCTAGAGCCATACTCATCATGAGTGTGGAGTATTGATCCATCTCCTAGGCCCATTTTGAGTAGTATAGGATTTTATGGATTTATTTCCTTTTTTACCCTTGTATTTTGAGGTACTTTAGATGATAGGATTTTATTATGTTCAAAGTCCACTTTTTTCTATTTTTAGGTCAAGGGATATTTTAGTCTTTTAAGAGGAAGGAACCTACACATCATCTAGGGTTCATTTAGGTTGCATTTAGCTTGCATTTGGGCTTGCATTACACGACCATGCAACCCTAGATGCCTTCCTACTCCTATATATACCTTTAGCCTAGCACCTTCTATACACTTTAGAATATATAAATTTGAGTGAGCATTTTTTCCTCAAATCCTCTCTTTAGTCCCCTAGGTCTACACGGCCTAACCCTCCCTTCTCCTCCTTGAGTGAGTTTAGGGTTTATTTGAGTGGCCTTCAACCTTGCCTAGTGAAGTGAGCCAACCTTGAACCTTCCAAACACCTTCCTCCTTCATTTTTCCCTATTCGCCCACCTTTAACCCCTCATGCCTATGCGGCCATGTCTATGGTTGAAGGCCCTAAACCACCATCAACCTGAAATTGAGCTTGTTTCAATTGTTGCAAAAATAATATGAGCATGCTAACACAAGCATTTAGGGACGGTTTGGATTAATTTATTTAGTGTACATGAGCTTATGAAAATAATTAAGGACATTGAATAATAAGGTTGTCAATAAGATTATACGGCGGATGGTGGCAAGGACCTTTAAGTGCCATATTGCGGAGCACCCACGAAAATAACATCCCAGGATCCTCACCAACAGTAGTATGATATATAAATGGGAGATATATATATATATATATATAACAAACACATATATATGTATAATATATATATATATATATTATATATATATAATATGATGCAACAATAGAAAAATAACAAACACATATATTAAAACAAAAAATATAACAATCTAAAATTCATGACATTCATAATCTAGTGATAGTCATCATAAAAAGACATAAATTCCTAGCCAACAAAAGGATTAAATGGTCATCAAAATAAAAAAACAATGTTAAAAAATAGCAAAACACGGAGGGAGAAGATGCAGAATCATGCATAGAGGGAGAAAGAGAGAATCGCATGCGGAAGGAGAAGGAGCAGAGCAGAATCGCACAAAGGGAGAAGGATAGAATTGCTTGTAGAGGGAGAAGAAGTGGAGTAGAATCGCACACGTGGTGGTGGTCGCGTTAGAGGCGGCTGCAACGGTAGAACTCATCGGATGAGGCACGTCATTGACGTTGCACGGAGGAGACAATGTTTCATAACTATTGGGTTACGGTTTTGCCGCGAACCTATTCAGGTAAATGACAAAAATGGAATGCCCAAACCTGGAAAAAAAACCTAGGCCCAAACCCAAAAATATGGGAAAAAAAGCCCAAAATGGGCGCCATCACCACCGTAAATTGCCACGACGTTACCGCTATAACGGTCGCCATACGCAAAATGGCGGACCCATGCCATACAAAGGCCAAAAAACCATAACGGAACGCGGCGACCGCCGCCATAACCGCCATTTAACAACACTGTTGAATAAGTGCTTATTATATAAACCCTTATGTATAGGTTATTTTATAATCAAGGAGGAAATATGGTTAAACTAATTCTATATAAGCTATAAGCTATTTTCATTTGAAGAACCTGGTTGAGATAAGCTGAAAATAATTTACAAACATATTATAACTTTATTTCATAAGTTCTCTCAAACACTTACACATATGCCTTTGTTATAAGATAATTCTAAATAAGCTATGAATAAGCTCTTCCAATAAGAACCTTAATCACCTCCAATATTCATGAATACAATAATTGAGCACTTAGAAATAATATTGAATTGGAAGTTTTGGTGAGAAACCATTATATAAAAGAAGTTAAAAGTGAAACGGTAAAAAATAAATAAAAGACCATTTGTTCTTCTTTTAAAAAAAAATAAATGAAGAGAACATAAATAAGTAGAACATGAAAGATTTAACAAGTTCAAGAATCAAGCAAGAAAAAAATATCAATACTCTACTGGTCTAAAACCAGGAAGAAAATATGCATCTAACTTGAAAGGAAAGAAGTTAGAAACAAAAAAAATGTGCTATGGTACCTCTATGTCAAGTGATGGATACTTCTTCTTAAGTATACGTACCTGGTTTGAAATTTCAAAGGTGAAGAAAAAAAAATTAACAAAAAGATATAAATTATGACGAGCACTATAAGGTCAAAGTTAATCACTAATTTTTTAAAATATTATTAGTAAAATTATAAATCCTTTATTTCATCCCTATCATTAAATATGCATGAATGAATAAAAATACCTTAAAATTAAAGAGAAAAAATATATTTAAATTTAAACAATATGATTATAAATACAAAAATAAAATGTCTTATTCTTATGTACGATCAACATAGTAATGATGAAGATAAAATATACCTAATCACACATTTAAAGAAGTATACACATATTCTTATGTTAAAAGTGTAATCATTATAGTTTTGAGGCACTTTGGCCATAATAAATAAAAATAAAATAAAAATTATTGAAATAAATTATAAAAAAACTATTTACTAGAATGAATTATTTTGGATATATAGGAGTGAGATAAATAATAAGAAAACGTCAAGAATAATGACGAGAATAGTAAACGACGAAAGATAAAAAATTTAGAACGTCCCCGATGTGTTTGACGTTTTGTTCTCTGACTAATAGTCCTGCTGGTCAACACAAAACCATTACAAAACATCACGAAAAGTGATGCTTTTAGTGTATACAACAACACGTCTCATATCTTGACGTTTTCTAATCATAGTGTATTTTATTTTTATTTAGCAAATGTATATAAAAATGGCAAAGGCTCATACGTTTCCAAATCAATATTTCTAATTAAAAATACTTAATAGAGTATACTAAAGTCACGCAGGTAAATTACAGTAAAATGAAATTTGTGTCAAAAAGAATTAATATTCTATTATTGTTTTACAAAAGTAGCCTTTAAATTTGTGTCATTTTATTA